TACGTTTGCAAGTCCTCTTTTGTTTCTTTGGTGTAAATTGAATTTTGTTAAAGTATCCTCAATCTGTTCGCAATTTGATTTCAGAATGTTCATGATTTGCAACGCATTATTGATGTTAGCTGATTTTAACTCGGCTATGTATACATGACTTAACAACTTATGATACTTAGATTCTATTTCGCTAATATTAACATAAAAATAAAACATATGGTATCTATTCAAAATTTTGGCTTTTCCATGATCATCTAATAGCCAACCGTTCGTTTTAATCGGTTCTACCTGAAGGGCCTGGTTGCGGACTGCCAGGATCATCAAAGTCCTGCAACGTAAAATATTTTTTATGTCGTTTTATTTTCTTTTGGTCTATGTTTGTTGGTTTGTTAGAGTTCTCACGAATCCCTTCAACTTTATTATTATTACTGATTCGCGTAACATTCAGTTTGTCAAAAACAGGATCGGCTTTTCTTATTTTTTGTCGTCTGATATACTCTTCTGGTTCAATCGTTAGAATATCGTTTTTATTTCGTTCATTTTGATCATTTTTAGTCGTTGTTTTCTTTTCTAACTATTTGTGATATAACAACTCATAGAAAGGTAATATTTCGTCTTTTCTCCTGTTATTATAATCTTGATATTAAGTTTTATCTAATTCAAATTGATGAGCATTAAGATTGTCATAAGGACTATATAAAAGTGAAAATGATGTAAATCATGTAAATGAGTAAATTGTTTGATTGTACATTGTTATTCTTGAAATCATTAAAGCTTGTGAGGTGTCGTTTTTGCTTTTGAGCTATGCAATTCTGATTTTTTCAAGAATTGTGGAATAAAAACGCTTTAGCCGTGAATTCGAACTGGGATTATAATTTGTGGTAAAATGTAAATCAATTTGGAAAAGTTTGCAATATTCCTGAAACACGCTGTTTAAGTATGGTTATTGCTGTTAAATCAGAAACATAATAAGCTTGTGCGTATTTTGAGAAAAGGTCTATTATGGTAAGAAATTTGCTTTTGTCAAATGAGAAAGTGTCAATATGAATGACTTCGAATGGTTTTTTAGCAGGCATCGGACCTAACATTGGAATTTTGTAAGGTTTTCGTTGAGAGTTGGCTTGAAGACATAACTCTTCATAACTTCCTCCTTCAGGTGATTTACGGTTTCTGTCGTACCACTGTGATTTTGCATGTGGTATTTCTCAACGATTTTATGTTGATTACTAGTGTTTGTAATGCCTTGACAAATCGTGTTAGATTTAACAATTTTGAGTTCGTCATTCGCCAATTTCTTGGCAGGCTTGTTTACGAGGCAGGCTCGTAAATGGAATTTCTAGTTTTTTTCTTTAAATTAAATTCCGTAAAATGTATTTGGAATTAAATATTGCTGCTAAATGTTTTTAAAAACTTCTTCTTCTTGTCCTGCTCTTACCGTTGCATAAAAATTTTGTTTGTCAAATGTTTTTGATATTTTTACACTGAATTCGTCAGCTCTATCGATAATAATGCGATTCATGAAACAATTTACGATTACACTGGAAAACAGCATGTCTGTTGCATGAGATTTTTTACATGAATCTGGATAGTTTTTCCACGCTGATTTCGAAAATATATGCTGTATTTATGTAGCAGCTCTAGTTTTGGAGTTATGAAGTGACAGGGTTTTTCATTGAAAATGCATATAGTTTAAGTTTAAAAAAATTATTAGATTAATTATTCTGAATGAAATTTCCTTTTTTTGGATTTTCTAGAGTGAGATGTATTATGAGTACTATTTTGAATGCTCCAAGAATAATCAGCCATCATATGTTCATTTCAGTATCCCTGATACCTCGCCTCCATAGTGCAAACATCCTGGTGGAAGCGCTCTCCTTGTTCTTCGCTTAGGTCACCGAGATTTTCAGGAAAATGGTCTAGATGGCTGTGAAGGTAGTGAAGCTTGATACTCATGTTGCATCCAAGCAGCTGGAAGTGTATCAGCAACTGTTCAACGTGCTGAATGTAGCCGTCAGACTTCCTATTGCCCAAAAAATTCCTCACTACCCAAACAAACTCTTTCCATGCACATTTCTCGACAGCTGACATATGGTTGACGAAATTTTTATCATCTATCAACTTCCTGATTTGTGGGCCATCGAAAATACCTCCTTTGATTTTCTCACTACTCAATTTTGGAAACACTTTTACAATGTATTTGAAACATTCGCCATCTTTGTTAAGAGCTGTATCTCACTAACTAGAGCTGCTACAAAAAATCTAAGGGTAGATTTGAAATCAGCGCACCCAAATTAATAAACAGCAGTAGAAAAACTTCATGCAACAAAAAAAAAGTTTTATTTTGTTGCCCTGTGTTATCATTTCAACACGTGAATGAGCATCTGCGACTAGATTTTCTTTTCCCTTTTTATAGTTAACTTCGTAATCTAATTCTTCTAATTTAAGTCTCCATTTAGTCAGACGTGAATTTGGATCTTTAATGGAAAATACCCATACTAAAGGTTTGTGATCTGTCTCAATCACGAAACGTCGTCCAAAAATATAAGGTCGAAAATGTTTTGTACACACGACAATAGCAAATACTCGTAGTTCGCGTTCGATAGTTGAATAATTTCGTTCAGCGGAATTTAATGTTCTGGAATAGTAAGCAATTGGTTTGTTATCTTGAAATAGTACACCTTTTAGCACCTCCTGTATTTGAGGCGTCGATGGTTAAACAAAGAGTTTTGTTAAAGTCTAGATAGGTAAGTATTGGTGCGTTACTTAATAAATCTTTGCATTTTTGAGATGCTTGAAGATACTCTTCATCGTCAATTTGTATTTTTGAAATTTTCTTAAGACATTTTGTGAATGGTTGAACTATTCCTACAAAACTTTGAATAAACCAACGATAATATCAGTTCAGCCTCAGAAATGACTTAATTTCTTTTACTGTCTTTGGTATTGGGTAATTTTGAATAGCCTGAATTTTGGAAGGATTTGGTTTGATACCTTCTGGTGTTATGACATGACCAAAAAATTGAACTTCTTTTCTTAAAAACTTGCATTTATCTATTTGTAATTATTATTGAATTATCGTAATTTTTCAAAAATAATGCGTACGTGTAATAAATATTTATTCAAGGATTTTGAGAAGACGACGATGTCGTCCATGTAAATAAAACAGAATTTATATAAGTATTCTCTAAAAATATGTTCCGTAGCTCTTTGGAATGTACTTGGTGCATTTTTTAACACGAGCGGCATGCGTAAAAATTCAAAATTACGGAAAATGCAGTTTTTCTATGCCTGGGTCCATTTCTATTTGGTGAAAACTTTGAGCTAGATCTAAAGTTGAGAAATAGGAACATCTTCCTAAATTGTCTAGAATTTCCTCTACTCTTGGAAGTGAGTATTTATCTTCAATAGTTTTCTTATTTAAGTTTCTGTAATCTATGTCAAGGTGCCATTTCTTTTTCCCCGATGTGTCTAGTTTTTTATTTTTAGTTTTAATTAATTAGCAATAAATATAACATTTTGAAGTTTCACTTCTAGTATACCCACACATAATTTTTAATAATTACGTAATGAAATAACTAATATATGAATAATTGTAAATTTGTCAATCTCCTTAAATATTGCATTATTATTCATTGTTTTTTAATAAATATAAAAAAAAATTAAATAGTGAGCATTTGTCCATGTGCGCAATTGTCCGTGTGAGTAAAAGTCCTGTGAGCAATTGTAAATGTGAGCAAAAGCCCTGTGAGCAATTGTCCGTGTGCGCAGTTATGACTGTGGGCAATTGTCTGTGAGCAGTTGTCCTGTGAGCGATCGTCTTGGGGGGCAAATGTCCGGGAACCCTTCCTCGCAGGGGTAGATGCCCTCGTTTTAGTAAAGTTTATGTCTTCGAAAGTGAGACACTCTGGTGTAAGTGGAATCGGTCAAAGATTTGATAATCACGGATTTTTTTGGTTTAATTAACACTGCCGTACCGATTATCCTACCGGCTGCGCCAATTATATTGAACACTCAGATGAGTTTAAAATAAAACGTTTATTGTTACTTATGTTTTTAATTATAATTTGACAAATGTCTAATACTACTTGACTTATCTAGTCGAGTTACTAATAATAAGTCACGCTCCTTTGCAGCGCGCGCCATAAGTAGTCGCGAAGAATGCTGACTCCACAACTTAGAAGATAAGGCGAGATGCGCATAATGTAATTATATGCCACTTGTAACTTCAAGTCTGACGGATGCGATTGCGCCCATTATTTTATAATATTATAGCACTGATCTGTATAGGTACTCTCCAGTGTTGAGTATATATATCCGAGTATCTTTCCAAACCTATTTTGGCACATCCATCAATCCAGGGCAATATACAGATAAGTGTATATAAACGATATTCCTAATAAGCTGGCTAATTTCAATAACTTGAAGAAGGCTTCACTGCTTTACAGTGTCGTGATAGCAGACCATTTTCATCATAACATAAATGATCTGGCACATAATGTATATGATTACACCAGTCTACAGCATTTTTGCGCACGGGGTACATACCTTATTTTTATTACTTTAATACTTAGAAATAAGAATAAGAACAAAACAACGTTCTGAATTTGCTTTTATGTGTACAAAATGGAAAAACTCAAATCAAAGAACATACATAAAAATTGACATAGAGATGATTTATTAGAAGGTACCGAACGCTCATTTATGATCTATTCTTATAATAGAAGTTTTAAAACAGAATCAACATATTTAAAAATGAACAGCTTTACTTTTCCTGTTATGTTCAGTAGAAGTTTCTCTTATTAACCCTCAAATATAGTCCCCCATCATGCTTTCAGTTAAAACCGCTACAACTTCGTACAAAGCAAATATTTTCGATTCGTAATCACACTTTTTTATATATATTTGATAATCAGAATTAATTAAGTAAAACCCATGGCCAGAAAATATTTTTTTGTTGACCGGTGTTATTTGAAATTTCGCGCACGTCAACCATGGCTTTGTGTTTACAAGTTTGGACTGGACAGCTTTTTAAGGTTATTTTCATCCGTCATCTAGGGAAATATAGGTACGGTTAAATGCTCCACATAAAAGGATTTTGCCCGGTGATAGGTACTTCGGATTTTAATCATAGTTATGGGTTATAGCCTGGAGTTTGCTATGCATAGAAGAATTGTAAGATATAGGTATGTAGTATGCTAATGTATATACCAAGTAATTTATGAATTTTTTCTGTTTTTAGCGCCATTAAAATATACTGACTGAAGTGTTTTTAATGGCAGGTTATTTGTCAAGCCTAGAAGTGAAGGTTATCACAGATGGTGAATCTTGTGAAAGCCCACCAAATAGTGATCTTGGTTTTACGGATGACCTTTCAGGATCTGAGTATGCTGATGTTCATATAAAATCTGAACCAGAACATGGTTCTGACTGCTATGAAGAATCTACAATAAGTTATGGCTATGAAAATGAAACAGAACATGGAGATAAAAGCAGAAAATTCCGAAGTTCCATTGACTTGCCACAAGTTATCATTAATGGCCATGTTATGGTTCCAAAGACACCTCAAGAAATTAGAAATAATTTTATATCAAGCAATACTGGACAATTTCAGGTGACTTATATTTATAATAATCATTATTTAACTAATTATTTTAAAATTAATTTTCAGAATAATAGAAATGATGGTGTGGGTCAAACGACATTGCAATCATGTAAAGCTGAAAAAGGAGGTTACAAAAAAAATAAATGTATAGCCAAGCACAAAAAAGTTAAAAGAAAAATACGTTTTCCCCAGATAACGGTTAATGGTGTTGTTATGCCGCCATTGATACCTCGCAAATTAAGTATTACTCAAGAACCTGCTTGTTTTATGGGTTTTGCAAGTGGAGGTATGCAAACCCCAAACTACCAAGTTGATACAACACCATCACAAGAACCAGGGCCTTCAAATATTCGGATTCCCACCAGTAATACTTTGTCATGCCTAGAAAATGTAGAGATCAAGGAAGAATTTATGTACTAGCAGTTTATAATCAAATATATACTTTGATTAATATTCCAAGAATATATCTAATTTTGCTCAACCTAGAAAGCTAAAATCTTCTGCACCAAAAAAAGCATTAAGTTTACTCTTATTCCTTCAGACATAAAATATTACTGCTTTACAAAGTATAAAAGTTTGTGTAAAAAATTCTTGATAACATTAGTTTTATGAGAGGGCTGAAAGGGACTTCTAATGGTCAAAATAGCTATCTACATCAGGTTTGACTTGACTTTTTTTTTACGTCCCGCTAGAATTACTTTAAAGAAGTGGTGAGAAAATTTTCAGTTTATGAATATTCTACAATTTTACTGTACATATGGCAACGGTAGTCTCTAATCTCAGGTGTATATATAACCTGCAAATTTTAAATAAATAACTTAATTCTTCTGTGAGTGCAATCAAAAATATGAACACAATGCTAAATTGTTCGAAACGATTGTATTGCCAACGAGTAGCCCAGGCACTAAGAAGTAGGAAATCAAGATCACAAAAGGAACAGGTATATAATTAATACTTCTGTAGATAACTAAAACATGCATCTTTGTAACTTTTTAGGTGCAAAGATTTATAGATTTTAAACGAATAAAAACCCAAGGTGGTTCTGGTGGTAATGGTTGCATCTCATTTCTTCATTTATGGAGCAATGATAAAGCTGGTCCTGATGGAGGTAATGGTGGCAATGGTGGTCATGTAATTCTTAAAGCAACCCATAGCATAAAGGACCTCAATCATGTGAACACTGTGATCAAAGGTACTGATGGTGTGAAAGGTTCCAACAAAGATTGTGATGGAGAGTGTGCAGATCACTTGATTGTTAATGTGCCAGTTGGGACCATAATCAAAAAACAAAGATGGCACTATTATTGGAGATTTGGATAAAGAGGAGGTCATGTTTGTTGCTGCAAGAGGTGGTGCAGGTGGTAAAGGTAATCACTTCTTTACCACTGACACTGAACAGTCTCCTGAGATCTGTGAGTATGGTGCACAGGGAGAAATTATGGAATATACTCTGGAATTAAGAAGTATGGCCCATATGGGATTGGTAAGTGTGCATACTGTAATTATCAGATTCATAATTGTTTTATTGATCAATAGATTGGTTTTCCAAATGCTGGAAAAAGCACATTACTTCGTGCAATTTCACGTGCGAAACCCAAGATTGCACCATACCCATTCACCACATTGAAGCCTCACATTGGAGTAGTGCAATATGAAGATTATGAACAATTGGCTGGTAAGCAAAATCACCAAGTTAAAGGCTTTGAAAATAATGTCATATTTTATAGTTGCTGATTTACCGGGGCTAATACCTGATTCGCACAAAAATAAAGGTTTGGGTATACAATTTCTTAAGCATGCTGAACGATGCTCTGGACTGCTATTTATAATAGACATTTCTACGCCGCAACCATTAGAACAGCTAGCAACTCTTCAATATGAACTGAAATCGTTTAGTTCTGATCTTATCCAGCGACCACAACTTATTGTAGCGAATAAAATTGATCTGCCTGGTGCCGAGGATAATTATCATGAACTTAAAGAAAATACGGCATTGGAAGTGATACCAATTAGCGCAAAAGTGGGAACTAATGTTGGATTATTATTGCAACGACTGAGACAAATGTATGATAATGAAAAATATTCAAAATAAGTACACGAGCGTAGATTTTTAAATTTTTTATCTTTTCGAAATTTTAGAAATTGTTTCTGGTAAATGTATATAAATATGATACGTACTTGTAAAAGTAACAAGTATCAACCAGCACTTACATGTCAAGTTAAAATGCAGCTGGTTCAGTTGAGTTTGCTTTGCGCGAACTTCTCTGCCAATGCCAGAACCTCAGAAACGCTACCAGCATTACTACCAGAAGCCTGAGCGGCGTCAGGCTTACCACCACCCTTGCCACCCATCGTCGGTGCGACTGACATCACCCATTCGTTTGCTTTCAATCCTTTCTCTTGCGCTGGTTTGGGAACGGACGTGAGACAGAAAATTTTATTAGTGTCTGGATCGACACTGACGAACATCGCAGCTGTTTCAGGACTGAGCGTCTTTACTTGTTTGAGAGCAGAATCCAGCGCCTTGGTGTTAGAGAAGGCGTTTAATTGCTTAACCAAAATAGGCTGGTTGGGTTTCTCGGTAACCAAATTCTTGATCTCCTCTACGACCTTATTAGCAATTGCAGCTTTGTCGGCGCGTTCTTTATCGTCTAAGGTCTTCTTCATGTTCTTCAACTCGTTGCGGAGTTCGTCTTTGCGCCAGTAAGAGATCGTGGCATGGGAGACTTCTTCAGTCAAGCCTACGATTGACTTCACTAACTCTTTATGTTTAGCACCAGCAGAATCGGCTTTGATTGCGTTTTTAATGTTCTTTAAATCGTTGTCCAAAACTTCATAACGTTTCAAAGCTTTGGCAGCTTCCGGGCCGGTTAGGGCAACAATACGCCGGATGCCCTTGGCGATCGCTTCCTCGCTAGAGATGACAAAATCACCGATGTGGCCAGCGAATTTTAAGTGCGTACCACCACAAAATTCAATTGATGTATTAGCTCCAGCCGGCCCTGAAGGATCAGCTTCAAGTTTTTCAACAGGAACACCAACCGAGACAATTCTGACCGGATCAGGGTAGGTTTCTTCAAAGACAGCGCGCAAACCTTTGATTGTTTTTGCTACCACCAGGCTTGATTCTTTAGCGAACACCTCGTGGTTTTTACCGATTAAATCGTTTGAGCTCAGCTCGATGTTTTTGACCTGCTCGGCAGACAGAGCTCCTTTGTTGGTAAAATCAAACCGAAGACGGTCGGGGGCTACCAGAGATCCCCTTTGGTCTGCTTCGGTGCCCAAAACTTTACGTAGCGCGTAATTCAAGATGTGCGTCCCAGTATGATTGTTCATAACTAGTCTACGGCGAGAGTCATCCACATGTAATGCAACTTTATCGCCTACTTTAAGTGTTCCCTCGATGTTACCGATATGAACAACATATCCTCCACGAACCTGAACGTTCTTCACAGAAAACTCAACCGTATCATCGCCCACTTTAACCATGAAACCAGTATCAAATATTTGACCACCTTGTTCCGCGTAAAAGGCTGTTTTATCCAACAAAACGCCACATTCCATTCCAGTGGTGACTTCCTGAACAAACTGCTTATTGTACCTCAGACCAATAACACTGCCTTCGCAGTTTTCGAAATTGTATTCAGCATTGACATCCTGTTCAGCCATATATTTATACTTAGGCGAGTCATCTGTAGCCGGCACGCCTTTATTCTGCAATTCAGTAATAGCATGCACGTCCAAGTTGACAGTGTCTTCCACACCGGTTCCTTTACCTTGGGATGCCAATTGCGCTTCTTTCTTAGATTCCTCATACGAAGGCATATCAACGGTGAGGCCCTTTTCCTCAGCCATTAATTGAGTAAGATCAACAGGAAAACCATAGGTGTCGTAGAGTCGCCAAGCGACATCACCCGGAAGTGTTTTGTTATCACCCAGCTTGCCAATGGTCCTGTTGAGCAAATTACGACCACGCGAAAGGGTTTTCAAGAACTGCTCCTCTTCTTCGTTAATTGTATCGATGATGGACTGGGGATCCTTGCGGACTTCAGGGAATGTTTCACCAAGGATTTCTACCACAGTGTGAACAAGTGTTGAAAAAAATCCTGGCTTTGCGTTAAGTTTTTCAGTCGCATAACGAACAGCACGACGGAGAATACGACGTAGGACATATCTATACGAAAAAAAAAAACGTTGCTGATATTATTAAAAACGTTATACCAACTATTACCCTCTTCCAGTGTTATCGGGATTCCCACCATCGCTAAGTGCAATGGTTAAAGTTCTAGCATGATCAGCCAGAACTCGATAAGCCATGTCAATACCATCGGCATCCGCATCCCCAACGCGTCCCTGATAAGCTGGAGCGTTGGTACCCTTCTGAATAGCGTCGAACAATGGACGGAACAAATCGGTGTCGTAATTAGAACGTTTCTCTTGAATTACAGACACCAGTCGCTCTAGACCCAAACCACAATCAATGTGCTTCTTAGGCAACAAATTCAAGCTACCATCAGATTCTCTATTGAATTGGATAAAAACCAAATTCCAAATTTCCAGCACATCTGGATCATCCATGTTAACCAAGTGTGGCACATCTCTCCCACCAATTCTATCAAAATGCAATTCTGAGCATGGACCACAAGGACCAGTTTCTCCCATCTCCCAGAAATTGTCTTTCATATTGCCAGGTATGATGTGAGATGGAATGATACCCAAATCCAACCAAATCTGAAATCATTTTGATATACAATTATTTATAAAAAAATATATATATGAAAAAATACCTGTTTGCATTCCTCATCAGGTTTCAATCCAGATTTTTCATCACCACCAAAATAAGTAACATACAAACGGTCTTTAGGAAGTTTAAAAACTTCAGTCAACATTTCCCAAGCCCATTTACAAATCTCCTTCTTGAAGTAATCACCAAATGACCAATTTCCCAACATCTCAAAAAATGTATGGTGATATACATCCTTGCCTACATCATCCAGATCATTATGCTTGCCACCAGCTCTAATGCATTTCTGTGTGTTCACTGCACGAGTCCATTTAGCCATATCACTGTTTGGATCAACAGTTCCCAGAAAAATGGGTTTGTATTGATTCATGCCAGCATTGGCAAATAGCAATGTAGGATCATCCAGTGGAATAGTTGATGAAGAATGTACATAAGTATGTTGTTTATCTTTGAAGAAATTGATAAATGCATCTCGGATCTCCTTTGCAGACATTTGAGAATTCATTTTAGCTGGAACAACAAGTTGGGATGAAACAATTTATAAAAGAAAGTTTGCTCCTGATGACAACATATGGTAACTGACATATAGATAAACTAAATCTTTATTGGCCATATATCTAAGAAATCATAACAAGTAACTATTTAATTTCTCTTAAGACAACTTTGAAGTTAATTTTTTATATGTGAGAGAGTACTTACCGGCTTGAACTTTAACCTGACGTTCGAAGATGACTCAATTTTTGTTTGGATTGTGCAATGTCGCAATGTGTATCAAACACGTGCCACGCGTGAGCGCAAAAGGTCGGTAAGAGAAAAGAGTTTCGGCACGATTCACGATGTGTCGAGCTAACCAAATCCAAATCAAGTAGGATTCAGTTAGATATAGGCAACTTTATATACAGTATAAAAATTATTTCAAGTAGATATTATGTACTTCAAGTAATTGTCTGCGTTAATAATTAAAGTAAAGCATTATTTTTGATTTTGTTTCGTTTGTTTTGCTTTCATTTACATCATTTAGGGCAAAAATTGCATTGTATGGTAGTCTTTAAAATAAGAATTTAACTAAAAACTCATCAAATGTTTGCAAAAATAAAAACAATTACAAAAAATAAATATGAATTATCTTGTCATGTCTTATATAAAAAATTACTTTCCTATTGGTGGCTTATCAAATTCTAATTACAAATAATCTTTCGAAAAAGTTGACAGTTTCTACGAAGTATATGGCACCAACCAATAGGCAATTTTGATTACTTACTTAAGTAAATATTGAATTTTCCAAAATGTGTTATCGCGAGTTTTTGCGGTGAGCTTGGGTTTATTTATCATTGAGTGTGTCATACATCCTCCAGAGTGGTAACGATATGATAACTTTATACTTTTAATTCACTCAGAATACGCGTCGAAGAACGATCACAGTCAGCATGGCGCATTTTGCAAATGCCATTAAGATCTTGTCGGCTTTTGCTCTTATAGTTTCAATATGTAAAGCAGATTTCTGCGATAATAAACAAACGTGCGATGAGTGTTTAAAATCAATTGAGTGTGCTTGGTGCGTAAAAGAAGATTCAGTAAGTTGCATTACAAATTCTAAAATTATAGTTATCAATTGTTTGTCAGTTAAGTTAATGCCTACGTTTTTGAGTGTAGTCTATAACAAGTTAATTAGGTCTTATTTTACTACTTGAGACACGTCTATTTTTAGAATTTAGGAATACATTGTTTTAACAAAACAATAATAGGGAACAAATGCGACCTAAATGATATAATCAATCCTGCACCGACAGAAACTATCGATCCAAATAAAAATCAAGACATTCAAACTTCCATGAAGAATAACAATATCGTACAAATTAAACCACAAAGCATGTCATTAAAGCTACGGAAGGATGAAGAACATACCATCAATTTTAAGTACGGACAGTCCACAGATTTTCCAGTCGATTTATATTATTTAATGGATCTGTCTGCCTCGCTTAAAGAAAGCAAAAATAACTTGGCTCGAATTGGCACCGTTTTAGTAGAAACAATGCAAAGTATCACACGAGATTTCAAAATTGGATTTGGGAGTTTTGTTGATAAAACCGACGCACCATTTATTAGCAAAAAAAAGGACAAGTAAAGTCCAATTTAATTAAATTGGAAGATTAATAATAATAAATCTTTTTTAGAATTGAGCATCCTTGTGAAGAATGCGCAAAAGCATATAGTTTCAAAAACCATCTATCTTTAACTGACAATGGTAAAACATTTTCAAACGAAGTAGAAAAAGCAAAGATATCGGGTAATCTTGATGTGCCCGAGGGTGGTTTTGACGCACTTATGCAAGCAATAGTTTGTCACGAAGAGATTGGCTGGAGGAACAGCTCTACACGTATTATTGTGTTCACAACCGATGCTGCATTCCATGTTGCAGGTAAGTTATACAATTTTGATGTTATGTATATAATGGCTTTTAAATAAAATAATACGTTTCAGGGGATGGAAAGTTGGCCGGTATAGTTATTCCAAATGATGGAATGTGTCACATGAAAAACAACGAGTACACACATGCGTTAAAGTATGATTATCCTTCGATTTCGCATATAAACCATGTTGCCAAAGAACACAACGTTCATGTGCTTTTTACAGTAAAAAAAGTTGAGAAACTTTACAAAAGTCTGGAGAAAGTCATTGATAATTCAAAAGCAGTAGGTTTGGATTCGAATGCAATTATCAACGAAATTCAAAATTTTTATAGGGTACGCTGATAAAAATCTTATTTTCTTTTAAATTTATTAATGTATATTATAGAATATTTCAACATCAGTCAAATTTACATCGCCGCAATCTCAAAATGTTCATGTAACATTTGCGTCCAATTGCAAAAGTGACCAGCAATTTGCTAAAACTATCGAGTGTTACAACGTGACTGCCGGTCAAGTGCTAGATTTTCAAGTGAAAATAAAACCGACCAAATGTTTCGATGGTGAAGAAATTATTCGTATCAAACCGAGCACCCAAGACTCCACGCTTGAAATCCGTTTATCGGCAACATGCAAGTGCGAAAACTGCGGACCGGATGTTATAAACTCGCCTAGCTGTAACAATCATGGCAATCTTCATTGTGGCGTTTGCGAGTGTGCCAGTGGGTTCAATGGCAAAGAGTGCGAGTGCGACAAATCTTTGAATGAAGATTTTGAAAAATTCGACGAATGCAAAGAGGGCAATAATACCGAAATTTGTTCGGGGCGTGGTTCTTGTCGTTGCAACGTTTGTAATTGTAATTACCATCGGAATATATTGCAATAAGATATATTTTAAAAGTAATGTTTTAAGGTGATCGGGATCAACGTGGAATAATTTCTGGTAAGTATTGCGAATGTGATAACTTCTCCTGCCCGAAATCAGGCACAAATATATGTAACAACAATGGCGAGTGCATATGTAGCCAATGCAAGTGCAATCCCGATTGGAGTGGAGACGCGTGCGAATGTCGAAACGATTTTTCAACTTGCACCTACGATGGTAACGTGTGCAACAATCACGGGACATGTAAATGTGGTAAATGTATATGTGAGAAGCATTACTTTGGGCAGTACTGCGAAGAATGCACGACCTGTTATGGTGGAAAGTACGTTAAAATGTCAAATGTCTGCCTATTGCTGTTAATTGCTGTTTTTCGTTTTTATTTGTACAGATGTGACGAATTAAAGCCTTGTGTGGAATGCAAAGTACACAACAAAGGCAAATACAAAGATGACTGTGACATCAAATGCACACAGTACACAATCAACATTGTTGATTCAATCGACGACGAGGAAGTTGACGATTCGAAGATTTGTAGGTATATTGAAGAAAACTGCAAGTTACTATTTACCTACATATACGAAAATGATAAAATTATCGCATCGACGTTGAAAGATCTACAATGCTCTGAGCCAATCAATCTTGCTGGTAAAAACCTAATCGATGTATGAATAATTCCATATTCATAAATATGAATACTTGCAGGTTTGATTATTGGAATTATTGTTGGCATTCTGGCCATTGGAATTATAGCGCTGATTGCGTGGAAGCTTTGGATGAATTACAAAGATAAAATCGAATATGCCAAATTTGAGGAAAGCCGAAACCGCGCTCGATGGGAGTCGGGCGACAACCCTTTGTTCAAATCAGCCATCACCACATTTCAAAACCCCACATATGGCAAGCGCCAGAGTTCAATATATAAGAGAAAAACTCAACAATCATAATCAACTAAATCACACGTATAAATATCTACAAGAAACTTTTAACCATTTTATAAGTATTTTCTTATGAGAGTAGTATGATCAGTCATTTTTGAATTTTATTTATTTTAATAGGACTTATCAATAATTGAACAGTTAGATGTATTTTCTTTGGTAACAAATTATTACAATTCAAAGCCCGTTCAATATAATACACAATTATTAAATACCTTTCTATTTTACTTAACTAAGTTATCAGTTGATTTTTTACGACTTTTAATAATAATAGGATAATTCAAACTCCTATAAAACACCATTAATTATAATGACAAGTAGTAACATAAATAAAACGAATAGTACTATATGCCATAGACTTTTCTGTATAGAAATATTTACTAATTTAATACTAGAGGGTAAAAATCAGAATAAAATATATAAATGCACATCAATAACAATTAAAAGTGTATAAGGTTCACAGTTACACATCAGACATGACAAGAATAAATCATTTACTGCCTGTTGACAGCCTGTAAGATACGCAAAATGTAAATGAACAAGTTGATTATGTCCATATACAGGTTGATGGTCGCAAGAATATACTCTTCGGGCGACAATGTCTCCATCATCATTTGCGTATCGAATACGATAAACAAGCTGAAAAGGAATGCACCGCCCAAACCAATAAGCAATTCGAATACATTTGATTGTATGAATATTTGTAGAAAACCGCCGACGATTAAAATGCAGAGCCCAGCAAATAATCTGAAATTCACATATATTCAATTAATTTCTACTTAAATATTTCAACTTTTGCACTTACGCTGAATGCATAGACGAGAAGTCACGTTTCGTTTGGAAAGTGTACAGTGTTAAACCAGCTAACACAGTCAAAGTTAATAGTAATGCTTCAAGAACGATTGCTTGAGAATAGAAGGTACAGATTACACCAACAGAATATGCTTGGACCACAGTCTAGAAAGAAATATCAGTAAAATAGAATTAAACATTATCATAGCATGACAGTTTTTCATAAAAAATAATCTTCTTTTAACTGATTAATAATGTTTTTGTGTCATATCACATAATTTGAACTATCCTAAAACTTACAAATGCAGCCAACAGGATCAAGTTCGTAGGGGACTCCCGACGTTTCACAAAAAGGGCAAATAATAGAGCAAGACTTCCAAACATTGCAACCATCATTAACCAATCACTGAAAAAATTGAACATTTACCAACATTGCCATCATTTGCCATTTACAGCATTTAATCAATTTCTAGCAATCATCCAATTAACATGAAGACATACTTGGTATGAATGAATTCCTTAATTGGAGGTGTGAACATCATGACACTAGCCACAATTACTGTTATAAATAATTGGATGCTCAGTAGACCATAAACTTTACGAATAAACCCCAATCTCACAGCCTTAGTTGCTTGCAACACATTATTTCTGTATGCAAAGTCATCCTCAATTCCATCCTCATATTCCTTTCCACCCTGTTCTACATCCTCCTGGTTGATGATCAACGGCGCCGTCGCTGATGTATTCATTGTTGTGCTAAAACTATGTACCCTGGATTTTAGAAAAGCTGTTTTACTTTCTTTAAATATATTGTGCAATAACAGTATGTTTATAGACACTTAATGCACATGTATTAGTGATGGTATCAAAAACAAGTTGATTAGAGGTAACACAACCGTACCAGTGTTATCTATGTACAATTTAGTACATAAGTAATGAGTTGTCACGGCCACGGACCCCCGTGGAAACTTGAATTTTTGTTAATTTTATATATGTTATCAGTGACGTTTTGCCATTAACGGTGTTTGCTATAGTGTTTACCAACGTTGTCAAGTGTGTCAATGTCATATGAACGTATTTGTGGAGCGGGTTGAGCGTATACACCATTTACTTCAGACAAAAATTATAAATTGCTTGCTAACAATAAAAAAAATTTGTAAATTTAAATATATACCTGTTATAATTTGAGTTTTTATTATTATTAACTGTAATATTTCTCAAATGTAATTGAAAAATGCTATTGGATAACTTTTTGTGTGAACTAGACATTAGAAAGATTAAGTCTAAAAATGTCATATTCAAATTGAAGTATGTTTTACTTCATTCAAAAATTAAAATTAGTAGTTTAATCATGGTATTAATAGTTTTAAATAATTATTAGTAATATTTATTTAAATTATGTTTATTTACTTTGCTCGTATAACTTTAAAGTGTAGAACGAATTGTGTAAACGTTGCAGCTCAGTGTAACTGACAGTACAGCCAACTATTTCACTATAAATCACTAGAGTTTAAAGCTATCATGCAAACTTTCAATTGCAAATTAATAATGGATCAATATTTATGAATGAAACTTGACGTGTTAATACTAAATAATCAAAACGTACTAAATACTTGGTTTAGAGTTAGAACATTGTAGACTGACTGTTCAAATAAGAAATCATTGGGAATATTTCATATGGTTATGTTATTTATTATCATATTGGTAGCATGCGTTTTGAAATCATTTTCATTGGTTCATGGCAATAATCAACCTCCCCCTGTCTCCCCATACACCGCTGCAGCCGGGCGTCTTGTGTACTACAAATCCACTTTATGGCTACCGATGGCTTCGTAGTAAAGATCAGCCGCCAAAATATTTACCTGTGAGATAGAAAGCGTATTCTGAGTGAAGGAACGATCAAAAATCTTTGAAAATGCCGAGAGTCAAAGCATCGCCGAAGAAGTGCATCAAGTCGAATGTGCAGCAGCCCACAAACAACTGGTTGTTTATGCTGAAGGGTAAGTTTCTTTTTGAGCTTTTCCTTCATGCATTTGCTATTAATTAATATATAATATTAATACAATTTTTATAATGTTTTTTTAGGTGAAGCTCTTGAGTTGTCTGAGCAATACACTGGCAGTGGAACTCCAGATATTGTTACATTACGACATCCAAACACAGGAGATACTGCAATATTTTTGTTTTCACCAGCAAATAATTCAGTTCAAGAGGTGCTCACATTCAGTGAGGGTAAAAGATCATGGTTTATCGATGATAATGTAAAGAGTGATGGGAAAATGCATTTGTCTACTCCAATTGATCCAATATTCTTAGGTAAAGTTTCATCTGAATTTCTTACTTATTTATAAATATATTAATTTTTTATTATTGATTTTAGTAATTTATTGGTTGTCATGTAATAACTTTTTTCTTTTTTTGATTTTAGTATTACCATATTTAAGAAAACACACAACAACACATGCAGTGCCATTAGATCAACTATTAATGGATGATGACTTCCCAGAAACACAAAGATTGCTCAAATCTAGTGGATTAAAATATCTCAATTTGATCGCTGACAAAAAGGTATTTTTTGTATGATAGTAATAAGTGCATTTAAAATAGTAATACCTGCATCAAATTGTTAAACATTGTTTGTTATTTTTTCAGAGTGAAGAATTAAATGCATTTAAATACAATGAAGAAAAGACATTGCTATGGCTAAAAAAGAAGACTGAACGTGTCGCAGATATTCTCAAACAAAAAAATATTCATGTTTCTGGAGGAGCTGTGTCAGCTACTTTCGTGAAATCCAGCAAGAACGAAACCCAAGACAGTGATGCGTACTTACGTTATGCTGCGGGTATTGTCTCCGAGTACTTAATGGACGATCTGAGTCAGAAACTTTTCAAATATTTAAACCTCCCTGAAGAAGCGCAAATCTCTTTAAAGAGAAAGAGCATGCCAGGTGGCGAGCCAGATTCGAAGAAGGCGAAGACAGAGGAGGAGAACAAAATCGGTTCGTCCAATGTGCTCGACCTGAGCAAACCTGACGGAAAGCCGGCCAAGCCGACGAATACAAGTGCCAAAGAAAAGTCCAGAGCCAAAGCTGCTGGTGGTAGTAAAAGCATAACTTCGTTTTTCAAAAAGGCGTAATTCGCCCAGCCGCCAGTACAACACAAACACTAGATTTTATGAACATTCCGTTTTATTAATTATTACTTTTTATATGAATGTAAGTTTTATTCATGTGTTCGATTTAAACAGGTAAGGAATGGTGGTACCGGTGAAACAGTATAGCATTTCGATAGTGTAATGTTAGAAACGTGTAAAACAACTTCCAACTTGATTATTGTGCTCTGTACGTTTTATACTCAACTCAAAAATTACGAAATGCTAGGCATTGTACTTAGTACTGATTGAATCTCATGTTTAAACCTACTCTCGGAACGGAAAAAGCTGATGAGAGCACCGCGGCGAATATTTTTACACTAATGAACGTTCAAGACGAGTGATGGCGGAACACCACAAACTTGTACATTACTTGTATCATTCGAAATGTTCCGTGTGTTTCATGAGCTTTCCTATGGTGTGTGTTTCTCTTAATAGGATATAATACTGTAAGACTTGTAAGACATTGTAAGATTAGCAGACTGAAGTCTACTCTTGCGCTCGCAATAATTCCTATTATGTAAACGAAGCGACTGTTTTTTTTTTTATTCCAATGGTTTTTGAAGCACTGTCATGACATTACATGTTCCTCTTTGTTTTATTACTGTGAAAACTTTTAGAAGAAGTTTATAAACGCGTTTTTCTATTGTATTCATATTTTTGATATTATTTATGGCTGTTTACTTTTGTACAAGGATAACTTTGAAATCAAAAAAGCTTTGATATGCCTATGTTCAAACTTCGAATACTTAATAATAAAAAGGTAAATGAAAAGCAACTAATACCTTCATATGAATTATTTTTTGAAGGTGCGTTTGATATTCTAATTTAAACGATAGCAATTTTATATTTCAGTGTGCGAGCGAATTTCGAAGATTTAAATACAAAAACCTCAACGTGGAAATAAAAAACATTATATATAAATTTATAAAATTTCATTGTATAATTATTTACCAATTTAATATTTTCATATCACTTTTCTAATTATCATAAGTAGTGTTTATTAGGATTGTACGTATTTCTTATTTTAGATGTACACTAAGCGCATGTTAATGTTTCAATCATAACCTCATAGTTTGACGATTTCGTTGGTATCAGTTCTTGGTACAAATTTTTAAAGGAACAGTTTAATCAAAGCATTCTATAATAATGAATGAAGTTAATACAGATAATGAACCTGGTACGTCCACAAATAAAATTATGAATATTTCCAAGATTAAAAAGCAACCAAAAAAAGGAATTATTTACTTGTCTACCATTCCACCCTTCATGAATGTTACCCAAATCACTGAATTTTTCAGTGATTTTGGTAAAGTTGGAAGAGTATACTTACAACTAGCTGATACAGGTAATTTTTTCTTAAACCTATTTTTTAGAACTACCATAATTTGTAAAATTTTAGAACCTAAGCCTGGAGAAAAGACAAAAAAACGAAAAATTGCTAAAAAGTTTACTGAGGGATGGGTGGAGTTTCAACGCAAATCCGTTGCAAAAAAAGTCGCCACATTATTAAACAACACACAGATTAGCAATCGGAAAAAATCGAAACATTATGATGTTATGTGGAATATGAAATACCTATCCAACTTTAAATGGACACATTTGCATGAAAGATTGGCATATGAAAAAGCTGCAAGAAGACAGAAACTGAGAACAGAAATTGAATTAGCTAAAAAGAAGACTAACTTCTTTACTGTTAACCTGGACAAGGGGAAAAAGAAGAAACCATTTGTTAATAAGGAACTCCAGAGTGCAAATACAAAAGCAAAGAATCCAAGAAGTGATGAACAGAAGGAAGATGACACTGAAAATAGATCAGAGTTTTTGGAATCATTATTCAACTAATAAAAATTAATAAAAAATAACTCAACGGACTTACTTATATTATTTTTATTAACAAATGCTTTTAAAACATAGTTGAGGTATAAGTTAATTCTATTTTATTGTTTTATGCTAATTTTTTCATCTACTTTTGAAGGTTCTGGTTTGGTATGTCTTCCTATGATTTTGTTTCCTTCTAAATCAATAGCAAAGTTATGATCAATTTCTGAGCTAATTGCCTTTTCAATAGCTGCATCAATATTATCCCTAGTGATAAATGTGTGTGCAATTGCTTTCTGTGACTTGACAATCTCCTCAGCCTGCATAAACTTCTCTTGGTTGATTTTCTTTCTTTCAGTGAGTCGCTGCTCGGCGATTTTGATATCACTCTCCAAATCCTTGGCATATCTTGCCTCTCTGACTTTCTGTTGGTTTTCATTCCATTCATCATTGAGTGCATTACATTTTGCAAAGTCCTCTTCAAATGCCTTCTTTAACACTTCTGGGTCAACAGTTTGCATAGTTGCTTGTTCATATTGCTTCGTTAAGTAACGGCGAATGCTTTTAATTTGTGTACGGTAATGGTTGTTTAAACGTTTCATTTCTTCGGTTTCGATTTCTGGCACAACAGGACGTTCTGGAATGCGAAAAATTTTGCTTTTTGCAATAGGAACCCATCGTGGTTTTCGCCATCGTACAGATTGCAAGTTACTGAGTGGTTCTGAGGTAATTTGCAAAGTTTTGGGAATATTTTGTGCTAAGCGCAACATTTTTGAGTTTCTTAGATAATGTTAGACTAGCCTAAACATAGATAACCTAAAAACTAGCATGTTGCTAAAAATCGACTGTCAAAATATTTATTTGAATCATTGAAAGAAACTTTATGAGATAAAAACATTGACATAATAAGCTACATTTAATAGAATATTATCATTAATTTAAGACAATTTTAATGAAGATATTGATTGTAAATACAGCGAACGCTTTGGAATTGTGGACGCTTAGCTTAATTTCTTTATGACCTTTGTATATCGATTTAAAATGACAGTTCTGGCGATTTGACAGCGCTGCTGACAGCTGACTGTGTTGTTAGCGCTAAGGTTCCTGGAATCTTACTGCTTAATTGGTGATAACTTGCACAATTTATTAATATCGGAAGAAAAAATGAATAATTCAAGCAGCCCGGTTACAGGTAAGCAAGTTTATTTTATTATACTTCCTAATTTATACGTAACTATCTTGCACAATTCCACCCAGTATTCGTCACTGTTGCATATTATCGGGTCATTATCTAAAAAAACGAAAAATTCCTGCGTGGCTGCAGCCAGAAACTGCGTTGGTGCATGAAATAATTATTTTAGTTGCTGACATGAGCTTAAATTTAACATTCAGTTGCAATTAAATACATCAAAACCATCTTCTAAACAGGAATTGCCAACGAAATTTATCGGAATTAATTTTTAAACACTTCAGCCATGCGGTCATCGATCGAATTTATTATTTATATTGTTTTCGGGAAATGATGGGAAATTGTACGTTTTGTACATGTTTTGAGCTCTTTCCGCTCATTGGCATTCTTTTGTCGGCCTATTAGATTACTCAGAGCGACGGTGGCTAGTTGAAACTCTTAAACCGGTCATAAATTTACCGTTACTTAATCTCAACACGCAAGCAGAAACGCTGAACGCGAATAAAAAAGACAATTCCGCGGCATGCAGCGAGTTTGAGCGCAGTTTGCCGTCGCCAGCGTGTTCGTAGCTGTGCGCGGCTCCAAGTTACGCTAGAACGGTTGAAACAATTGCAATCTGCGATTGATAGTCTCAGTTTTTTGTTTTTGCTACATGTTGCGGCTACAGGGTGAAAGCTAAAAGAAAGTACCAACGCGTTCGTCGAGCGTGCATTCGCGCGTTTTCAACGTCCTAAACTCACAAGCTGACTACTACTGACTACTTTAGTGTGCTTCATGTGTGAACAAATGAATTGCCGAACAACTCCAGCAGCTGTTTTATTGTTTCTGCTTGTTTTGTGCGTATAAGCCAATCACAATGTTTGAATAAAATCGATTGTAATGTCAGCTAAATCGATCGTCTGATTGGATTGTGTACGCCTTGTGATATGTGCTGTGATACTGATAATAATAATAATGAATCAAACAAATGACGATGACCCACCGAGCCTCGAATATATCGAGGATCCATATATTAGTCCGACGGCGATCACATCAGAAACACCGAGTTTGGATGAGCTAGACAACTTCGAGTATTTGGATCCCAACGAGTTGGACATCTTCGACCTGCGCCAACTTGACTTCGACGAACTAAACGCTAATAGTCTCACATCTCTCAGTGGCAACGACGAGAGCATCAATGTCGAGGCCGAGTTTTTTAAAGTCAAGCGCGCCAATGCTATCATACGCGCTTTTTTCAAAAACGATTTTAAGCGTAGTGTACGTGTTACTTATTGCGACTTAACGAAACCCTATTTGGCCAAGTTACCGAAAGAGAGTAATTTTCGCCGTTATTTAGATATTAGTAAAGGTGATGGTAAGAAATCTCCTATGCAAATAGCACTTAAATTCAGACTTAAACGTAAACATGTATGTCATTTAATTTTATTGGTGTTTTGTAATTGTAGAAGATGCGTTTGCTGCTGGAGGTGATCCAAGGACATACGCTGATGGTGACCTGACCGAAGAAGAATTACTAAAGAAGCAGGAAGAATGGAAGGCGGAACTTGCTCAAATTGAAGATGAAATTGCGACGCTACGAACGGTCCTTGCAGCTAAAGTGCGGCGCAGTGCCGAGCTGAAACGCAATCTTGGCATCACCGTATGGAAGGAAGTCAGTGAGGACATCAATCAAGGCATTAAGAATGTCAAAGACAGCAATGTGTACGTATTCCTTTCGAAGCCATTCGATGTTCATATTATTTAGATGTTCATATTATTCTGATATAGGTTTATAATGTTTGACTTACATGTGGCATTTGTTTTATAATTTTCTCTTTTTCTTTCTTTGGGTTCGGTTTCTTCTACAATGTTAATATTCAGTTATCAAACGGTTGAATGTAAAGTTGGACAAGTTACGAAGGCCGTGACTGATGCGCCAATGTGAGTAACGTTTATGTTTGTGTTTTGTTTTGCTATATTTAAATGGTATGGAATACGTTGTGCTGGAACGCTAGAAGTAATTTACTGTGAATTGCAGTTATCAGAAGACGACCTCGTTGATTGGGGGATTGACCGCCGGCGTGACCAACAAGTTGGGTCAAATGAGACATTCGGAATCATTCAAGTCCTTTGAGGAGAAAGCTGCTTCTGCCATGGAGTCGGTTAAGGTACTTTTTATGTTATTTTGTTTATCGTACATTTTAAAGTAGTTTTTTTCTTTTTTTGATGCACTATTAATTTATGTATCATTACATATTGCAGAGGAGATTATCAAACGCAACGAATTAATTAGTATAATGTAAATAGTGAGTTTTATTATGGGTTGAATAGGGGATATTAACATAGCTATGTGTTTCACTAACATGCATAATTGATTTTAACGAATGTTTTTGGCATTTATTAAAGTTACGTAAATTTGACTGAGCAAACACCAAATTCGTTATGCTCGAGTATGGGAGAACAGGGTCACCTGTTAAAGAATGAACTTAGTAAATTGCATCGGAATGCTGAGTTTACAAAATATTTGAATACTAAAATGCCATATTATTGTGTTATTCAAATTTCATAACCGTTTGTGGAAAATTAACTTTATTTCAAAATTGAGTGCTGAATCTTTTAGAAATTTTTGGATTAATATTTGCATAATATCATAAAACTACTTTATTATGACAAGGCAGTTTTTCACTTTTATGTGATTAAAAGAGAATGCATCGACCTGATAATTCTAATAATTGTGTGTATTTGTGTTATGATCTAATATATTTAGATTCCATCATTCTAATAATTGATGTTTGCATGTAAATTTCTAGACAAAAGTTGGCAGCGTATCACGTTCGGGTTCTCAGCAGAGTTTGAACGACATTAGGTCACGCTCTGGCTCCATAGCCACCAGCCCAACGATTCCAGAAGACAAGCCTATCGCCTAAGCAAAGGCTCCGTTTTGAAAGATTGCAATCCTCAGTTTCGTCAGATCGGAGTCGACACCAGCCAGATTTACCTGATGCAAAAGAATATTCTCGCACCTATATTTTACTAATATCTATTAACAGATAGAGGATAAACGGTGTAAACGATGCAAGCGTGATTTGAAAAGTAAAATTGCCTTACTACTAACCATCCGGTGGAATCATCTATCACAACCCAATCAATTGGAAATTCAATTATTTTCTATTCGAATTGTGTTTGGAAATACTTACAACATTTTTTGTCTGGTTTGTTATCATTATTCGTACTTATTTATCCAAAATTACGTTCTAAAATTATCAAATAATTGGTTATTGCGGGCTAAGTATAGATACTACATAGTGTAACCGATTTGTTTAGTGTTCCTTTGTAGAGTATTCCGTCTTGGTTTGCATTATCTTTAAGTAGGTTGTAAGTCATATATGTAATTTAGATTTTGTTAAAAATTTCAAAAAAAAAAAAAGAATTATGACATTAAATGATTTAGTGCATAAGTTTATTACGACCCACCGTACACAAATATTTATACATTTTATTGTTAAAAGCCAATATTAATCTGAATAAAATGTATCCTATGTGAACAGGTATTGTTTCGTACAGCAGTTGGAACGGAAGTATTATTTTACGATAAATGATGCGATAGTCATAGTTATGAATGAATTGCTAACAAAACAATAAATATTACTTTCCATAAATGTCAGCATAGTTTTTTAATACTGAATTTTATAACGGACAAATATTGGTATATATTTAAATAAAAATATTACTTAAGAGCGCGCTTCAAAGGGACATTTGCTTCAGCAGTACATATTTTTAAATTATGGCTTACATTTTTAAAATATTGGGAATATTTCAAAGACTGCCTCTAAGATGTAAAATAAATAGTTCTGAAAGGGTTTATTATCCATGCCAGTTATTTATGAGCTTTCGACGAGTATCATGATTTTTACCTGTGACGTTGAAGGTGAGCTGGTGACCAGCAGGCTCCAAGCTGTTGTACTAATATGAATGTAAATATTTTGTAGCTATTACTGTATATTTCCTCTTCGTGTCTATATTAATTCTTTTACATTCTACCAATCTCAATATCTCCTTATCTCGATATATTCGGCTGCTCTCGCTCTCTTAGGATCTCCGAGTCGGACGACTCTACGCAACTCTCAGTTTGTGCTTCATTTCTTGTTATAATAAATCTTGTTTGTATTTCAACTGTGTATTTCGTACAATGTACCCCCAATAACACACAATTCTTTAAGTATATGTGCCAATGTTCGTTTAATATTTCCGTAGATATACCAAATCTGTCAAAAAAATTAATGGTTTCACAAACTTTATTAAACACTGTAACATGTTACACCACTCTGTGGCATCATCAGACAGATGAATATTAAAATTAGAAGTGCAATATTAAACTATAGATATAAAAATTTAGTAATACAAAAATAAAGGACTGAGAAGAAGAACAATAATCCCTTCTGGTTATAGTTGTTAATCTCTATAGATTTCAGTAGATTTCATGCTCTTTTTTACACCTATGTAAGATTTTATAATTAGGATTGAATTTATGATTATTTTTAATCAATGTTCGCGTACGATGATTATGTTGAGTTGGTTTTAAAACTATGCGCGTGTTTAATGTGAGCCTACATATATTGACCAGCGAATACTTTTGGGCAATCCCCACATGTTAGTAAAGATAGTATTTTTATGTTTATCAAGAATCGTATTTTTGTTTTTGGTTAAACATGGTATAGGTAGACATTTTGAAAAAATTATACCTTTATTAAACATAATTTTAGTTACATCTAGAGGACGGTATAAAAACTAAACATTACAATGACTAAAGCTATCAGTTAAGTATATACAACACATGAGGATAAAAGCGTTAACATTTCGATGTATTAACTAATCTTCTTTTTGGCTGGTTCAGGTGACTTCATCGCTTTGGTTTTGTCTTTGCGCTTGAATATGCTGTTCTTGATGTTGATGAACGGCGATTCGAACAGCAGCGTCATCAGTATCGACACTCCAAAGATCCAAGCCATTTCGAGAATATTCAACTGCAAGCATACAATGAACATGGTTCAAAACAGTTCGCAATTCAACAGGTTAACAAATTTCGTTCACAATCGTTAAAAATCCATCATTATGTTAATATCTCTGTAAAACTATTATAACAATGGGTACATTGTTTAGAGATACTTACATTTTTCTGAATGAATTGGTACTGTTCGGAATGGCGCGTCGTGCCGACGTTGAAGAAGAATATTGGGAATTGTGTCAGGTAGACGGTGTAACTGATTTTCGTCCAGAGTCTGAAGTATGGGAAACTGAATATCCTGCCCATCCGACCTATGCACACAAATTACAATTATAACCTTGATGATAATCTAAAGTTGTTTTAATTTACTTTGATATCCTAAGTGGGAGGTGAAGATTATCCAGGCGAATGTGAAACACCATAAAATTGGTGCGAAAGCCGCATACCAAGCAGCATGAACAGGTTGGTAGATGTAATCGATGCTGCCCATGAATGCTGGTCCAATAAAAGATGCCACGAAGCTCACCAACGCAAGGATATTTCCAATATGAATTTGTGCCTGTTGTAAAAGATGTGTTTAGATATCTTTAACCACATATGAGGGAGTATTATACGAGATTATTATTATTATTGTGCGGCAAAAGAAAGGGGAGGGGGTTGCACATTTCTTGAGGCATTTTGCATAGGTGATCAAAGAGATGAACTTAGACCCTGCGACTGGCCTGCTTGACCACTCACACCACTTTTATATTTGCTGGTAACACTGTGGAAGAAGAGGGACGAGGTGTAGGAGTGAAGGTACATGTTAATCACAACGTGTTGCGCATGCGCCTCTCACTTTATGAAAAGGGCTTATTCGAGATAACATTTCTTGTATGTATATTTACCGGTTTGAGAATAATGTGCTTTGAATTTCGTAATAAATATCCCAGAAAAATCCCCATTATGTACACGGTTAGACGATGCGGTGGTAGAATGTACATGTAATCCGCTGTGTTAAACAGTTGCTCAATCCTACACACATCCGAAAATAACAACTATTAAACATTTCATAATTATGGTAAATCGGTGTATTAGTTAATAAATTGTATCATAAGTAACTTACGAGGTCCCAAAGTGGATGTAATTAGATAACTTCATACTGTTCGTGATATAATATCGCCCGATCGTTGAAAGCGTTGCTATGGTAATCAGCGTGAAGATACCGCGTTTTGGCCATTTCCATAACAGCATGATTAAAAATGGCGAGAGGAAGAACAATTGCGTGTCGATTCCCACATGATGAGTATGAGTTAAACACTAAGTAAAAAGTAACCGTCTAATAAGTTTCTCTTACATAGAATAACAGTTATTAATAATTACCATGTTTTTAAAACCAAAGTAATTGTGAATAAACATTAAATTTCTCCACCAGTATTGTTTGCAAATGTCTGAGTGGTGTGTGACCACAAGATTCCACATGGGGCCCGCTGCGATGTAAGGCAGGACAAAGGTGCAGAATAAAATTAATGCACCTAATGTAGGGACGATGCGGAATAATCTTGCGGCATACTCCTCGATAATACTGATTTTGACATTTCGTTGTAGACGACCCACAATTGAGTAAGTGGTCAATGTTGCCGACAACATGAGGAATGGGTCAGTGTATAAACTTGCTGCTCGACCGATTACAGTCCATGGTTGGCCAATTGTCTGAAAGTAAAAAAGGTGTTTCGGGAGTTTTGGTACAACGCAACATAATTAAAACATCTTAAAGCGTTTCCTTTGACTTATGAGCATTAATCACTTTTTCGTAATTATTTACTTCACATACGAATACCTATTTCGATTTTTAAATTTAGCAGAATGTGATTATCCTTTATTCTTTTGTCCCTATGATCAAACATATCCGTTAATATAAAAATGGAAATATGTTACGATTCATTCGTTACCAATTAAATAGTTTTTGATTTTATCTTCGAGTTTTAACTAATTTCGTCAGAATGCCTATACACAATAATTAAACTTTAATGTATATATTAGTCATATCCAAAGTGAGTAAAATATTTATTTACAACACAATTTTAAAAACATATAATTGTAAAAAGAGAATTTAAAGACGTTTGATATACGGATTGGAATAAAATGTAACAGTGCAGATTGGATCTTTGAATGTAGCGCGCGTGTATACTATTTATCCGTGCTGAATCCTACTCCGCTTCATGCCCGCCTGATCCGCGACGGGGCAATTTCCATCGGAACAGACGCTGCGCGAACGCACGAGAAGCCCCCGTACATGACGACGATTCGACAGCGAGTGCTCCGTGAGCGTCGCCGTTTGCCACGGCCGTTCGGAGTCCGGGAGTCACGAGCGACCGTGACGACACGCCGCCTGCGGGGCGGCATCGGCCGGCCCGAACGACGCACGAATTACGCTCGCAAGCGCGCTTATCAGCCGGCACACGCCTCCCTTGTGCCATGCGTGGCTCCCTTTCGCGCGGTCGCGGCGGCCGCTAATTAAGTTTTGTTCTGGTCACGTAGAGGCTGTGGGATGCGTCTTTAAGCGTTTCGGCGGCGCAACGCGCGATCAAAACCGCGCCGGAGACGCGAATTCGCCGCGTTTTTATCGCAGGAGAACATGAAGTGCGCGCGGTTTATCGCGGCGTTAGTGCACGAGTGGTACAAGCGTAGTTCGTCACACCACACTTTAGATAGACATATTTGTACTATTGCATTTCATGCGCGCCTGATCGAAAATCGGACGATTTGCGTCTTCCGTCAACATCCAACGCGTTCTTTCTACGTACGTAGCGGAGTCGTCGTACGGAGTACCGAACTCTGCCGAACCACGTGAATTCAAGTAAAACCAGATTGAAACAAAATAAACAACTTGTGTTTGGCTGGCTGTCTATATGTACCATGGTGTTTATTTAATTGCCTACAACACGTAGTATGCTTGCACAGAACAGCCAAGATCAAGTAATACAATGTTTTTAAAATTCCTATTATTCTACCAGAAACTGCAATAAATTTTGATCATATGTATTTGTTTAAAACATGTATAAACACAGTTTTGTTGTTCGGTGCTTTTCAAAATAAATATAAAAATATATTTATTTATTAAAATACAACGTGATTTTGGATTTGCAAGTTTTATTTTTAAGTTTTACATGTTTCACCCTGAGGGCATCTTCAGAAACTTTTCAGATAAGTAAAACTTATGTAAAACTCAAAAATAAAACCTGTAAATCCAAAATCACGTTGTAATTTTAATAAATAAATATATTTTTATACAACATGGATTGCGTATTCGACATAGAAAATAATCAAAATAAGTCATAACTCCATATCAAATTATACGCTTTTCAATGTTTTTAAAATATATGTATTTATAGCAATAATGCATATTTGGGTACTTCTTCTGCGGTGGTTAATATTTTTCTTGTTTGAAAGAATTTTCCGCAAAGTACCTACAATATTTATAAATATACTTGGAACTTTTTGATTGGGCTTATTTAGTCCTTAATATTTTCTTGGGAAATAAAAAATTCTACTTTAATTAAACCAAACCGACTTCAATTATATATACATTATTCCCGAACCAGTATTTTATGGAATTTGTCAATTGCGAAGTATTGATACCAATTGATATCCATTGTGCAATAAAACGGATGAAACAACATTTTTCAACTTTTTAAACACTTTAAAATTTATAAAAATTTGCTAAAGTAAATATGCAAACCGAATTCACCAAATATCTAGACAAAGATCAAAAACTTATGATATTCAATATAGTTTTATAACTTTTCTTATTACTAAATACACATTTTATGCAAAATGTATATTAATTCTGGTGTTAGTAAACGCTGAAAATCCGTTGTTACATATTTGCTAAGCTATGGTTAATTTTGCATTCATCTTTACACTCACCTCGCTCATTTCAGTGCGATTCACGTACGGCAGGAACAACAATGCCATCGATTTATGCGACAATAACAGCATGATCGCATTGATAAATCTGATGCCGTGCACCGCCTCCAAATCATTTCCTTGGCGTTCAATGGAAATCATGGATAAAATGTTCTTTTTTAAGGAGAATGCCACAAAAATTTCGTCTGAATAAACAAAAAAGAAAGCATTATTTCTTGTGTAAACAAGAAATTGTGGTATTATGTGCCGATTTAAATTGATATGATCTTATTGCTGAACAGTTTATAATAAACTCACTTTTGTCGGGACACGTGCTATAATGATCATAAGCTGTCGCAATGAAAGCAAAGATCAGATATCCGAGAAAGAATACACTATAATGTAAAAAATAAAACATAATGAAACAAGTAAAATGTTATACATTACTATCAACATAACAACGAAAGAAATTCAGGTTATTTGAATTGTTGAGGTTTTTATTTAATGAAATTCATATATTAATAAAAAAAACAGGTTTTTAGGAATTTCACTATTTTTATTAAATGGTCATTTGCCTTAGGATGGCATTGTATGCGAAAACACATCGCAGTAATTAATAAAAATAGTAAAATCCCTAAAAACAATGTTTTTGTATTAATAGATAAATTTAGATTATGCTTGAAATTTTTATAGGTTGTTATCCACTAACCTCCCAAAAATAAATCCATAATTAAGCTCAGTCTTAGGTCTCGACGAAGTGCACATATGCGCATCGACTTCCATTTTATATTCCAAATCCGTAGGGCCCAAGATGGCGTCGACTGTCTTCCGGAAGCCAAGTTCAACATCCTTGGCAGTGCATTGACTCGGTGTGCACATACCCCAGTTGATGCTAGAGAATCGAGGTACTCGATGACCAGGCTATACAAAAAAACAACACAGCCTAATCAAGTGAATTTCAACGAAAGATAGAAACTGTATAAAATACGCTGAGTATAATTACATCTCCCAATTTGCTTTTGAAGCTCTGATGTGCATATAGACGATTATGAACCGCAGACAGGTAAGGACTGTGCGGTGTCTCGACCTGAATCGCTGCCAGGCAATACTGGCCATAGATTTGCTCTTCACTTAATTTTGACCACATGCACAAATCAAAATCGCCCAGTTGATTGACGTTACCACTTAATAATCCGGATGGTAGTTTCGCAGTCGCGTCGTACACTGAAAAGTAAACATTGGATATTTTAATGTGCTGATGCTTTCAGTCTAATTTAGTTGTCAATTTGATTTAGGACTCATAATTTAGTAATTGTATCAGTAATGATAAAAATGCGGCCCTGGCGTTTAAGTTAATTGCATCTTCGTGTTTTGAAAATATAAGTATTTGCTTTTGGCAATATCCAAATTCGCCACACAAGAACAATCAATGATGTTTTTATTTTTAGCATTGTTCCGCGTATTCGTGATGATTCAGTTTCATATAACATATACCACATACCTCTTGTATTGCAGTAATAGTAATAATAATAATAACGTGGGCTTGAGATGTGCCGGTAGCTTAGTATAATTAATATATTATTGTGGTTTTTACGATGTTTGCTCGACGCTTACATGCGCACTGCTCACCGTGCTCACTTTTGACCCACGAGATTCAGTATACGATAAGTTTTGCACATACTTCCTAATGCCCACAGCTGGTAGTTCCTCAAGTCAGTGACGAAACGGTGACTGGCCTTTTGGCAGTCCTCGCTGACTCCTTCGACCGTGCTCAGGTCAAACGGCGGCGAGGCACCCAGCAGGAGTTTTGTCAGCTGCCTCATGGTCATTTCATAGTCGGGATCTGCAATGAACAAAAAACAAAGAACATTTATTTATGTTGAAAACCTCAGACAGTAGGTACATAATTATTGTATAAAACACGCGTTGGAAATTTTAAGGAAACATAAATTGTGCGTGCGTATTTTGCAGGATGACAAAGTACAAATAATTATTATGTTCTGAATGTTACGAGTATATGTCTCAAAAATATGAATCATAAAAAACGTATAAACTTTTATTTCGTAAGGTGTTAAAAAGGCTGAATATCTACGTATTCGATACTATTTTTATTTTTATAAACCTGAGAATAATGTTATATGCGCTTTAAACATTTTGAAAGTTTTTGGTTCAAATGTGTGTAGAGAAAATGAACTTATTTCCAAGAAAACTGGAATATCTATGAAAATATGCCATAGACAACATTGTAATTCAATTGTTTCATAATTGAAGACAAATTAATTCCTCATCGTATAAGCTTAGTGATTTTTAAAGATTTAGGTATATTGTTGTAAGAACATGAAGTAAAAAATCTGTATTTTTAATATATTGCAAATTCTCTATTTACCTACGTATTATAATTGATAAACAATATATATCCTTTCAAAATATTAAAGCTTATTTATAATTAATCTCCAAACGTATAATTACATATAAATTGATATACATCAACTAATTAAATCAACGTAATTAATTACACGCCAAAAATAATTAAGTATAATTCGATTGTTTCATAATTAATTTAGCCAAATAGTAAGTTACACACTACACACCTATGACGCTATAATATTACATATCGGATCAATGATATAAGCTTTTCATAACATTTAACATGATTTAACGTACGTTTAACTGTGTCAAGGTTATTCCGTCTGACCGAAAATCGCTTTTGATTACACACGCGAGTACCAAACTTTTTGTTGGCCAAGAAAAGAAAATATAATATTGGTAAAGAAATTCAAGTCGGCAATTAAGGTTAAACTGTTCGATATTTCAATGCAAGTTGAAACAAAACCAGTATGGTAGGTTAAGAATAAAATAATTGTGGATGTAATGAAACTGCAATTTTAGTAGATTATAGCTATGCCAAAGCCTTGCAGTGATTACACGGTCAACATGAATGTGAAAAATGCAAATTACTGACATTATCGGATGTGGCATTTGCGAAATACTAACAAAAAGTGTACAAAATATCAAGACCAAACAACAAAAATTACCAACATTTAGTAGAATATTTAAAATATTCCAAAAATGAATCATACGTATGTGGTAATTATTGTTGTTATTTAATTATTACAATAATTACATCATTCATAACAATTATGGGTAACGTTTTAATTATTTCGGTATTTTTTGTTGTTGTCTTTGAAAATTACCTTGCAATTTATATCTTTACCTTACAGTTTTGACATTCATTGGAAACAATCATGCGCATCGTCGTAAACCGAAGAACAATCTAACATCGTTAGTAGACAACTCATAAAAAAACAACGTCGGTAAACTTCCCTTCTGTTTAGGTACGTTGACCATACGCACACACATTAACAGCTTAATTAAAAGGTGTCAATTGCAATTTACGTGGTGGCCGTATGCAAATTGATGCTGGTATAGTGTTGAATTCTCATAAAATTGCATTTACGACTGAATATAATTCAGGTAAACGTTAAACATTGTACATGTTTAGTGTTTACTTTAAGGATATTAATGTTTTCAGTTTTTGCACTTTAAGGCTTATACAATTAAAAGTTGCTTTTGGACTTTATTGCAGAACGCATAGATTTAATCCAGGGTAGTGAATAGTTTAGAAATAGCAATCAAAAGAAGATTTTAATGAAGATTAATGAAGATTTCGCAAAAAAATTGCGTAATTATTCGTTTTTTATTTCACTAGGTGGATTGATTCGAATTGTATTGCAAACTGCTATTGGCTAAGATAATGAAATAAATAATTTATAGGTGAAGATGTAATTTTGTGGCAGGCTGCTCACAAATTGATCACTATAATTTGTTGAGTGCTGAGTCATTTGGCTGAAATTTAGTACCGTTATTAAAAAGTTTATTACAAAAAACTCATAAACTTGCACTTGGCTATGATTAAGCACACCATAGGTTGTATATTGACGATAAACGATGTGTGCTGAACAAATATTTAATGCTTTTTACTGTATAAATAATTATTTGCCCAATTTGATTTTTCAACACCTCAAGTGTTTGTTAAATTCTGTGTTAATATTGGAGAGATTAAAATTATTATAAACTACACCGATAATTTCATATCTCAGTTTTATTACTAACTAACGATTGTCCGTGATTTTGTTTATGTAATTACTATCTGCTATGGGACGACAATAAAATTCACAATTTCCATAGTTTTTCCACGGTTTTTAGACAGAGAAAGTGGAACTTTATATACAAACGGCAAAAGCCGTGAGTAAAGTACCATAATATACGGGGTGGAGCTTGCACCTGCGGATTTGCCTACGCTGCAGCACAAGACCATATAAAATGTATTGCGCCGCCAAACATGTCAAACAAGTCAAAGCTGCTGCTTATACGTAAAACAGGCGCTGCTGCGGCTCCTGCGAGCACGGCACAAAAGTTCAAATACAAAAACCTAACCGTGGAAATTCATTGGAAGCAGAAAAAAATAGTGTAAGCATCACGTGACTAAACATTGTTAAACCCTCGATCAGCGGCGTAGCGTGCATTGTCGGGGCCCCGTATAAAATTTTTTTTTGGAGGCCCTTATATGGAGGTAAAGGTTTTTCCTTACACACTTTGGGGGCCCCCGTGGCGCGGGGGCCCCGTATAATTGATACGGCAAATACGGCGGTAGCTACGCCCCTGCCCTCGATTGATTAATATAGTCCTACTATTTAGTATCAACTCGATTTGAATTATATAAATAAGTGCACATTTTACATTTTTGCAATTATAATTTTGCTAGCAAACTTCTACCTGTTGGGCCAATTTTGAAGTTTAAAACGAACGTATATACCTACATACTTTATGTACTCGAATATACGGATAGATAGATATATAGACTGAATGTATGCCACATTGGTTGATAGTTTACTCTTTTTATGCTCAACTACATTGTATCAATACGAGTTTTATTTAATACTAAATAATCCAAAAATGTTCTTCTAAAATTTTCTTTGTAAGTACACATACTAGAAATGCAATAAAAAAACAAATATTACGAAATTCGTGTAGAAATTCCCAAAACTCTCTTCAAATACGCATAAAGTGCACATTTTGCACGTACATATGACTTATTATTTACATGCCAAAAAGATGTCGCATAGTCCGTCCAATACTCAAATAATACGCTCAAAATCAATAAATCAAACATTGCGCAAATACACAAAGACGTCGTTGTTGAATAATTGCAGACTGTACACGCTCATCTTAAATTAATTTATTTACATTTTATTTCCAAATGTTCGAGAGCACACATCTATCCACAGACCATAACCGAGTGTGTTACCTAACCCAGGATCTCGGTACAACCATGAACTCTTCGCAACTCTTCGTTGCGAATGAATAAACCAGTATCGATATAGTAGATAAATAATGACATGCACATAATGAATAGATGCGCAAGAAATAACATACTTTTAAGAAGATTTCATTGGCGTCATCTACTACGATGTTGATGTTAATGTCGAGAGTGTGCGTCACGTGCGCGATAGTTGTGATCATGATATTGCCCGCTGAATGACTCTCACGTGTGCAATTATTCAATGGCCGAGCCTACTAATTGTGCAAGGTTAATGTCAATTAGAAGAGAATTATTAGATAGAATGTGCGTGGTTACAAATATCTGAAAGTTGTTGATGAAAATTATAACTTTAAACGAAAACATTTTATTTTTTAATGTGAAAAACTAGTCCGATATTAAAACACTCACTAAAATATTAAGCATACTCATAGATTCCACAGAAAATTGGATAACACTTAACTTTTGCATCGTCGTCATTTTACACATTTATTGTGTTAAAATATTGTTATAATATTGTAATTGGCACAATCTTCAAAGTGTAAAGGTTATTTGTGAATTAGTGAATTTTTTCTGCTATATGTAATATAATAGCGCAAGAGTAATATATAAGTATTACCTGAATAGGCGAGAGTTTATTGTACAAATACAAATCAAAACATGTCTTGCTTAAGTGACATTACAAAACTCATGGGGCGATGTTAAAGTCAAATGTTGTCTTATTTGGCGTAAAATGCTAGAGAGGTAAACCAACCTACCAATTATTATTATTATCAATGTGTTCAATTTGTTTCCACCTTGAGTATATATATATGTAAAAATTATTTATTATTTGATAAATGAATTTTTCTACTCGTACTTCCACCATTAAACCGCCAGTTTTTACATCGGTTTTGAAACACAAAAAGTGGTACTTTAAACAACAGCGAATTTTAAATTTTCGAAATTTGCTCGCACACTACTGAGGGCAGTAGCAGTGTCTGCTTTGACTTGTTTGATATGCGGCGTAGAGCATTTCATATGTAAATATATGAATAAAGCCCGTGAGTAAAGTACATTACTCACGGTTTTAGCCGTCCGTGTTTAAAGTACCACTTTTTGTGTCTAAAAACCTGGAAAAACTAGCGCTATAAAGGAGGAAGTAAAAAATATACTATATGCTAGAAGACATTCATTTTTCGAGTTCAAATAAATAGTCCCAGGTAAAGTAAAAAATATTTTATCTCTCCATTATCTTAAATGTGTTGTTTTAATTGCGAAATTAATTACATGCTAATATAATGCACAATCACTTAATAAAATCCAGCTGTATAATTTACTATGCGAAAGTACGTATAGTGTATTGTATAATTTGTTTGCTTCCGTGTTTACCTGAAACTCAACTGCAATTTAAATTCATCATAACAACAATCTAATTATAAGAGATCAACGAAAGTGCACAATGCAATTTACTTCCACTAATGTTTGCACGTAATGCCTCTCCTCAATCATACTTATTCTTAGAAGCGAGTAGAAAACAAACA